TTTTTTTTTTTTTTTTCCCTAGCCCCTCTTTTCTCTCGAACCGCCACCCCGGCAGTCCTAATTGGATCAGTGGAAGTCATCGGGCACTGTTTAATTAATCAAAGCCCTCTCTGTGTCCTGCCGGGTGCCCACGAGCAGAGAGGGCGAGCTTTCCAACACTGAGCTGCCTGTTTGACGCCCCGCAGCCTGCTGTGACATCATCACCCCTCTGCCACGACCTCTGACCCCTAACTATTGACCCCTGCCAACAGAGGCCCATCTGTCTGTGGCTGGAGACGGAAATGGGACAGCTTGCTGGGCGGAAGGGATTGTGGGAAGGTGGTCATCGGTGTAGAATCTGACCTGTGACACACACTCGATGTGTTTGCACACTATCCTTGGCTCTGAGCAGCAGTCTAGGAGGTCAGGTTGGAGGTGGTTGATGTGTGTAGGCCTAACTACGTTTAAGTGTGTGACGCTGACGCTGCTGGTTTTCTCGCTGTATATGATGATGTAGTTCTTCACACTGATTGACTTGCTTTTGGTCAGGAGAGTAGTTTTGTGGAAATGAAACTCTGAAATCTGAGATTTTGACTTGGAATGTAGTAGATTATTTATTTATTTTTTAAATTAAGTTTATTTTGTGAAATGTAATATCTGTTTTAATTAATTTGGCTTGATTTATTTAATTTTACTGATTTAATTTGAAGTATTTTACTTATTTTTATTTTACGTTATTTTTATAAAATGTATATTTTGTGAAGTAATGCAGTGTGTTTTCTTTGATTTGATTTAGCTTGACTTTATTTTACTTTAAGTAAAAACAAGTAAAATAAATAAAATAGGTAAAATTATCATAATTTGTTTTATTTTCATTTGATGTGACATGATTTTACTATTTTATTTTTGTAAAATATTGTATATCTTATAACAATGGAGTATGCTTTATTTTTTTTCCTTTATTTTATTTTTTTCCTTGTTTTATTTTACTTCAAGTAAATCAAATGAGCAAAATAAAATTAAAAATATATATATAATTTATTATATTTTAAAAATTTGATTTGGCTTGATTTAGTATGTTACTTTATTTTATTTTTGTGAAATGTAGTATAATTTATTATTATTAATTATTAATTTATTATTATTTTGAAATGATTCTGTTTTGACTTATTTTTTAATTATTTTACATATTTGTACTGTTTGTTTGTTTGTCCCTAATTGAGTTGTTTTTGCCCGTCAGATAGTTTTTGTGAAATACAGTATATCTGCAGTTAATCAGATTATATGATATTTGTCTGTGTTTGGTCCAACAGATCTGGAGTGTGCGGATGTTCCCTTATTGACTCCAGGAAGTAAAGAAATGATGTCACAGGCTCTTTTGGCCACATTCAGCGGCTTCACAAGGGAGCAACAGCGGCTCTCCATCCCGAAAGGTCCAACTCTACAGCACTTCCATCTCTCTAACAACTCTCTAGATTAAATCCTATATCCATATTTCTGTAGCTCTCTCTCTCTTTAAGGGAAAGTTCCTGGCTCAGTATTCTGTAGCACTAGGCTGTTTCTGAAATGACCACAATCAGATTGCCTAAAAAGAGATCTTGCTAGATAGGCACATGGCACTCTGAAGCAGCAGCGGTTATGAATTATGCTTCCCAAACTATGTCAGACTGCAGGATGGCTTTACTTGCTGTGTCTGGGGAGGCTGAAGTCTGTGTTGGGTCTGCGTCTGTCTGGAAATAGCAGTTGTGGAGCATGTGCACAGCCGAAAGAGATAGAGAGAGAGAGTTGGTGTCTAGGTCTGTAGGCTAAAATTACAACTGTTTCAGTTCCTCTCATCATGGCATCAAATTTATAACAAAATCATCTGATAATTTCACATGAGCCACTGGACCTGCGACTAAAGTATTGCATGCATCAGCACTACAACTACACAATATTAGTGTATTGATAGTTTATGGGCATAGCATGCTTGCGTAAACATTTTTGTAGTTGATCATGAAACAGAAACATACTGTTTCTTTCTTTAATATGATGCAATCTGTACAATATATGTAATAAAATAATTGCATCTGTCCCTTTCTCTTCTCTAGACCCCCGTCAGTGGACAGAGGCCCATGTTAGAGAATGGTTGACCTGGACAGTAAATGAGTTCAGTCTGAAGAATGTGGACTTTCATAAGTTCAGCATGGACGGGGCCAATCTCTGCGCACTGGGCAAAGAGCGATTCCTGGATCTGGCACCAGACTTTGTGGGCGACATCCTCTGGGAGCATTTAGAGATGCTGCAGAAAGGTAGACATCCTCACAGCCTCATGGAAGACACCGATCATCAACCACTGTCATTGTACTATCATTGTGATACTGTTATACTTTTTTTTTTTTTTTTCTGTTTTCATTTTAATTTTTTGGAGAATTTTCTTTTTTGTAATTTTTTCTTTTTTTTTATTTTTTTTAATTGTTATTATTTTTTGAATATATCTGTATTTTTAAGTTTTAGGGTTAGGGTTAGGATTAGGGTTAGGGCTAGTTTTAGTTATTTAAGCACTTAAACTAAAATGTGAAATGTTGCGCTGACAATTAGCTAAAATAAAATATATATTTTTAATATTTTATTTCAGTTAATATTTATTTTACTTAAATTTTTTTAATGTTTTAGTTGATGGTAAAAACCCTGTCTTCAGTAAATTATTATATATTTTTTAATGACAATAATAATCATTAAATAATAATAGTAATCTGAATATTAATAAATATTATATTCATATTTATTCAATTATTTTAATGTATCATTTGTATTAATTATATTAATAATTGTAGTATTAATATATTTTAATTCATTTATTTTAAATTGATTTAGTTAGTTATGCCCACTGTAGTTCATTAATCTAAATTAAAAACTTGACACATTTGAACCTTGACAGTCACAGGTGTCAGTATATGTTTATTAAAATGTGATTATAAATAGAAAATCACAAAATGCATTATTATTATTATTATTATTATTATTGTTATTATTGTTTATTATTATTATTATCGTTTATTATTATTATTGTTGTTGTTGTTGTTGTTATTATCATTATTATCATTATTATTATCATTATTATTATTATTATTATTATATGTCCGAATGAGCAGCTGCATTGTGATAATACTTCAACTTAGAAACCTCACGCATTAATATAGAATTTGACAGATGTATTGTAGTCACAGGTGCGAGTATGAATACAGATCATCCCATTAGAATTTCGAGCTGTAATGTTATTTATAAAGTGACTTTTACAAACGAGTAAGATACAGTACAGTAAATCATCTTTAGCAGATTTTATCATCTAGATTTTATAACGTGTGCTGTGATTTTGTCATGTCAAATGCTGGAAGCATGTATGAGGTTTCACATTTTGAAAGCCTGTAAAGTAAATTCCACTCAGACATGCATATCAAAGCAGTTTCTGTTGCACTACCTCGCACAATCTAATCTGCTACATAACAAGCTCAGCTTTGAAAGTGTGCATGGGTTCAGTGATGTGTGTCGTTTTCTTCACACAGAAGACCTGAAGCATTTCCCTGTCAATGGCCTGACCTCCAGTTTCCAGGAATCCCGCTACCCCTCCGACTACTTCTTCAGTGAGTATCTGTCCTTTCTTTCAGTTCACGTCATCACTACACATTCAGCACTTCAGTCATGACTCTACTCGATGTTGTCTGTAAGTGAAGGCAGTTAAAGAAATCCTTAACACCTGCCTTAAAGGAAACGTTCATTCATCAAATTTCTGTATTAACTTACACTTACGTCATTCAATTCTCACTTTATTAATACAGAGAGAGTTGTTGCTGTCAAGCTTAGTACTAGAAAAGCACCATGAAAGTCTGAGTTAATTCAAAGTGATACATGTCTTTGAAATGTATTAGGGATGCAGTGATATTAAATCTGATGATTATTTTTTTGTTATTAACAATCATGTCGCTAATGTTAATTATTTTGTCTAAATAGCTCAAATAAATAAAAAATCAGTTGTTTTCAATGCTACAAGTGAATTTAAGCATCACAACATTATGATATACAGTATGAAAAATTAATATTTATTTTATTTGTGTTAAGTACTAGTATCAATATGAATTTTAAGTAAGAATTAGATGATTGCAGAAGTACTCCAAATGTAAATCATGAAATAAACACAAAATCTAATATTGACTGATACAATAAACAATCTCTAATTTTAGCCGATATTGTGTACCGATATTGTAACTGATACATCACGCATCACTAAATTTAAGTAATTATTCACTGATAATCTTTACCTCCACTGCAGATCTCAAATTAAACATGGTGACTGTAGTGTAGATTAGTGCAGATTAATTAATTAAAGCCTTGATTAATTACTAATGACCAAACATAATCACATCATTTTGTAGTGCAGACCAGTTTTTTTCAGTATCGTTGATATACTATTATAGTTTTTGTTGATATTTTGAATTAGATTGTTTTATATATATTTTCTGTTTTTATTTTAATTTTAGATAGTTTTTTTTATTTTGTTTTTTACTTTATAGTTTTTATTAAGTTTTATTTTTAGTTATTTAGTGCTTCAAATAAAAAAAAAGAAAATGTTGTTTTGGCATCTAGCTGAAAAAAAAAAAAATATATATATTTCAGATAATCTTTATTTAATTACAAGTAAAGCCCCGTTCACACCAAGACCGATAACTATAAAGATAACGAAATTAGCATCCACACCAGCGAACGATATCATCTGTAAACGCACGCTCCTCTGCTGCTTTAAATTCTCAAGCTCGTTATAGCAGGATGGATTCTGATTGGCTGTCAAAGTTTTTTTTTATCGTTCATCAGCTGGAAAAAATCGGTCCGAAAGTGATTCCAATGATATCGTTTCTCTGTGCCTTTGTCGTTATGGTTATAGTTGTGGTGTGGATTCTGCTATTCTTTAATATTGAAAATGATTTTTAGAATTATATCTGTATCGTTATCTTTATAGTTATCGTCCTTGGTGTGAATGGGGCTTAATGCATTTTAAAATTTTTTTATTTTTAGATAATAATAATAATAGCCCTGGTGCCGACAGTCTTTGGTCACTATGTAATTTTATGGAAAAGGTGTATGCAAATACTATTCTTTTTAAAATTGTCTTCTCTTTGTCGTTCTTTCCTCCAGACTATGGCATTGAACATCCTCAGTGTGTTCCTCCGTCAGAATACTCCGAGCCGAGCTTCATCACCGAGTCCTACCAGACCCTCCATCCGATCAGCTCAGAAGACCTGCTGTCACTCAAATACGAGAGCGAGTATCCCAACGTGATACTGCGAGACACACCTCTCAATCCACTGCAGGGAGACTACTTCTCAGTCAAACAAGAAGTTGTGTCACCCGACAACATGTGTGTGGGACGCATTAGCAGAGGTGAGTATGAGCCAAAGATCACGTGTTTCGATGCAAATGAAACCGCGTTCATTCGAGGTCTAGATTAATATGGCATAAACGTTCGGGAGGCAAAAGCTAATTCCTCTCGTCTTAGATGCGTGTTTACCATCTCCCATCGAGGCTTAAATTGATCCCCATCGCCCCCACAGTGATCAGCAGTGTGTGGTCTCCAAAACGCCGCTCTCATCTCGCATTACTGCAGTTAATGCACACTGTAAAAAAAATTCCGTAAAATTTACGGTAAAAAACCGGCAGCTGTGGTTGCCGGAATTTTACCGTAAAAAATACGGTAGCAATGTTTTAGGTTTTACGGTTTTAACTTAAATTTATAGTTAAATACCGTAATTTCATAACTGATATAATGTTAATATATCAACTTATTGAAGTACTGAAATCTGTTTTGCACCTTTGTAATACACTGATAACCACTACTGCAGGTGGTGATACAAAACTGATAAGAAAAAACTAAGAAGAAACATAGTTATTTCAACAAAAAAACATCAAATTTGAAATGTAACGCAGGGAATTCTGGGAATGTCAATTTACGGTTATTCACTGTAAATTATACTGTCTTTTTCACTTCCAAAAACGGTATACTACCGTAAAATGAATGTCCAGTACATGCAATGTTTAATACAGTTTTTATACTTTATATAGTAGGGGAATTTGCCGTTAACCATTTAACAGGTTTTTACTGTAGCATTTTTACAGTCTTTTACCGTTAAATTCACGGTCATTTTTTACAGTGCACACATTGCCAGGGAATGAAGTAGACCGTTGGGTTTGTTTGTGGTATCTTACACCATCTCGAGATGCTCTCAACTGCGGTGGGGAAAAAGGAGAGAAAAACAAAGCTGTTTGCTTCAAAGTGAGAGATGTTTGAAGCCACAGAGCGCTGGTAGCTGTCTTTTGTGTCAAGGCGTCCGCTTGAGGTTACGTTACTGGGGTACGAGGTGTTTTTGTGAACCTTAGGTTCTCGTAAGGAGCGAGAGGTGTAAAGCGTGAAAAGAGCGTTCCGGTTTCTCATGAAGTAACTTTACCTCACGTACGTCTGGTTTCGGTCCCGCTCGTCGAATAAAAACAGCCCGCCTGTCTAACCATCGTGCAGCTGAACAAATGATCGCGATTTGGATTGGACTTTGAGTCGCTTGTATATTTTTGAACAACTCAGAGATTTGGGTTTTCACCCTCTAGGTACGCACTGTGGAGTAAATCCCAGCTTCGGCAACGACGCTGTGTTTCTCCCGCATGGGAAAGTATTTGTGGTGCCACCAAACTCGCATGTGGCTTCAATTTTTCAATTGAGGATTTCAGGATCAGTCCCAGCTCTGTATTATCTTTCATTCTGTAATTGGCATTCGATCGAGACCAGGCCTTTTATCTCCAGCTTGGCCAAAAATAGAGAAGCAATTTGTTTTGATTTTCGTCCAATTAGAGAAAACCCAAATATTTCCACATGGAAATCGTGTAAGAGAAACACCGTGTGGTGTGGACTGCTTGTGAACTTCTCTGGCTGGTGTAGCTGCCAAACTTTGCACCTTCTGTAACCAAAGACATTGGGTTCATGGGTAGAAATAAAGGCCAGGGGCCTCATTATAAAAGACACGTACAATCTGATTTGTGACCCTGGACCACAAAAGCAATCTTAAGTCGCTGGGGTATATTTGTAGCAATAGCCAACAATTCATTGTATGGGTCAAAATTATTGATTTTTCTTTTATGCCAAAAATCATTAGGATATTAAGTAAAGATCATGTTCCATTAAGATATTTTGTAAATTTCCTACCGTAAATATATTACAACGTAATTTTTTATTAGTGATATGCATTGCTAAGAACTTCATTTGGACAACTTTAAAGGCGATTTTCTCAATATTTTCCAAAAAAACATTGTATGGGTCAAAATTATCGATTTTTCTTTTATGCCAAAAATCATTAGGATATTAAGTAAAGATCATGTTCCATTAAGATATTTTGTAAATTTCCTACCGTAAATATATTACAACGTAATTTTTTATTAGTGATATGCATTGCTAAGAACTTCATTTGGACAACTTTAAAGGCGATTTTCTCACTATTTTGATTTTTTTTGCACCCTCAGATTCCAGATTTGTTTTTTGTTGTATCACGGCCAAATATTGCCCTATTATAACAAACCATACATCAATGGAAAGCTTATTTATTCAGCTTTCAGATGGTTTGTAAATCTCAATTTCGAAAAATTGACCCTTATGACTGGTTTTGTGCTCCAGGGTCACATTTGATCCTAAATTCCATGAAGTTTATGCTATGTAACAAGTGAGGAACAAATCAGGATTTATAAAGTCAAAAATTTGCTTTTTTTTACATTTCAGAAATTGTTGTACATTCATATTTAGGAACAGTTCAGTGTTTATATTATTATATTTTACATTTTAATTTTGTTGTGTGTGTGTGTCTCTATATGGATTTTTTTTTTTTTTTCTGGTTTAGTTATTTTATTACATCAACTTACATCTATTTTATTTCAATTAGCATTTTTAATTTTGGTTTAGTTTTAGTTAACTATAATGGAACATTTTATGCATGTCTTTATAAATGAGGATGCTGATCTTTAAAGGAAAAGCCTGTTGGTTTTAAAAGTCACCATACTACTGTTATACGCTTTTATTTTTTTATTTTTTTTTAGATATTTAGAAGAATGTCCGTGCTCCTCTTTTCCATATATTGCATCTGATCAAAACACTGTCTGTTTGAATATGTGGAATGAAAATTGACTGTGGATGATGTTTAATAACAGTGAAATCTCCGTCGCAGGTAAGCTGGGAGGTCAAGATTCGTTTGAGAGCATTGACAGTTTCGAGAGCTGCGACAGACTGACGCAGTCCTGGAGTAGTCAGTCGTCATTCAACAGCCTACAGAGAGTTCCCTCCTACGACAGCTTCGACTCGGAGGACTATCCCACCGCACTGCACGGACACAAACCAAAGGGTACCTTCAAAGACTACGTACGAGAGCGCTCGGAACTCAGCAAGGACAAACCGGTCATCCCGGCGGCTGCGCTCGCTGGCTACACAGGTCAGCATTAACCTGCATTCAATCATTCACCGCTCATGTACACAACCTACTCATGCAATAAACCCAAATGAGTCAGAATTCAAATAAGCACAAGACAGAAAGCCAGCGCCTTGAGACATAGCCTAGTTTCACAGTCAGACACAAGACCAGCAACAATAACTTTACGGAAGTTAGTACTTTTATACTATTAAAAAAGATGTTGAGCATGGTACAATGGTATTATGTTGCATGGTAATACAATGTTTTTTGAACATGTACCATGGCACTGGCATGGTATTCTTTAAAGTATGACTGAAAAAATACCTTGATACTTTTTTTTTGGATACCATATTATTACCATGGTGTTCTTGGAAGTACCGTGAAATTCCATGTAAATATGATATCAAATACCATATCTTATATTATTTATGATATCACATACTATATCATATAAAAAAGCCTTATTCTATATATCAGAAATCATATGATATTGTATATCACACATATAATACACCATATCATATACTGTATATATCATAGCAACAACCATGTGATGTTATAGCACATATCATGAATCATATTATACGTCATATTAAATACCATATCATGCAACAAGCATCAAAAAGGCATGTCATGCTATTCCATATATGATATCATAAATCATATTTTATATCACATACCATATCATATTCTGTACACCATAGCAATAAAAAACATGTTATTCAATGTATGATATAATAGATTATATTATATATCATATTGCATACTACAGCATATACTGTATACCATATCATATTAAAAACCATGTTAATATATATATAATATAAATCATATTACATGTTGCATGCAATATTCATATGCTGTATACCATATGAAAAAAAACATGTCATTCCATATATCATATTTTAAATATTGCATGCCATATTGTATAACTTATACCATATCATGTCAAAAATGTTATTCAGTATATCATAAGTTAAATTATATATCATATTGCATACCATATCATATTAAAAAAACATGTTATTCCTTATATCATAAATCATATTTATATATCATGTTGCATACCATATGATATAATCCATATATCAAATGCATATGATGTTACTTCATATATATTATATCAAATAGCACACGATGAGTTATTCCATATCATATTTGAAATATTGCATGCCATATTATATACTTTATACCATATCATATCAAAGAATGTTATTCAATATATCACAAGTCATAATATATATCTTATTGCATACCATATCATATCAAAAAGCAAATTATATGTTATTCCTTACATCATAAATCATATGTATGTGTCATATTGCATACCATATGATATATTCCATATATCAAAAAGCATATGATGTTACTTCATGTATCAAATAACATCATATCATATGATGTTTTTCCATATATATGATATCATATGCCATATCATAAACCTACAGTGACAAATGAAATATCTATGATGATGAAAAAAAAAAAAGGAATCGGCAAGCATTTGGATTCACACATTTATGCATGAGTCCTGCTAATGGAGACGTCTCGTCTCATCGGTGAAGACGAGTCGTGCACCAGTTTTGAATGCATTGGTGCACTTGGTAACCGCAGAGCCACATTTGTTACACGACTGTAAGAAAGTCATGGCAGGGTTTTTGTGAGCAGCTCGTGCACCAGCAAACACGCCACACCCCCCGGCCTCTTCACATCAAAACACACGTTCCCTCCCTCCCCGTCTCGTTCTCGCCGCTTCTATCACTGCCTCCTGCTCTCCGTTTCTTTCTCTGCTGTTTTCATCTTGTACTCCTTATCTGCGGCCCACATCTCAACCCATTTCCCAGGTCGTCTTGGCAACAGAGGGTGCAGCACAAAGTGATAGCAGCCCTGTGCACTTAAGCTGAGAGCTCCTTTATCGGCCCATCTCCGAAGGCCTTTTTTAACCTTGTGCCATACGTCTCAAACCTACCTGCTCATATATCTGAAAACGCAACAGATGAACACTTCCCTACACCGGCCGCACTCACTATGTGTATTTCTATTTTGGGAAGCTAAGGTTTCTTTGAACATATAAAGCACTGTTTTGCCTGTACCTGAGTTGGATGTCATCTGGAATTCTCCACACTAGATCCGAGACATAATAGTTATTTTTCCCGTAAGAGATGGTAAAATGCCTTTGTTTTTGTATATGTGCACATGCATGAGGAATACTGCAGAACATATTTCTATAATGGACAGAACTACCTGTTTTTACGAGTGTTACCGCAGTGTCAACACAACAGCTTTCAGAGTTCAGAGCTGAGGTAGATAAAGCCAGCAAGTGACAAAAAAGATCTATTTGCTCGCAGAGCTCTGAGGTTTCGTGTTTGTCATCATTAATCACATACGCACGTACAGATCCATCAGATCTGTGAGGAGAGCAGCACAACCACAGCACCGCAACACACTTTCTTCAGCGACGGCTGATTTTGAACTTTACAGGGCGGCTTCCTTATAAAGATGCACGCACACATTAAAGGGACAGTTCACCCAGAAATATAAAACTTGTACTCTTAGACCACAAAAGGACGTTTAGAAGAATGTCCATGCTGTTTTGTTTTTGGTTTTTAGTGTAAGTGAATGGGGACTGGGTGGTCAAGACAAAAAAGCACCACAAAAGTGGCATAAAAATAGTTAATATGACAGTGTATGTCAGTCCAATTCTTCTGAAACCTTATGATAACTTTGTCTGATTACCAATTACATTTGGCATTACTGACAACTACTTTGTTAGCACTTTACAGTAGTACTGTATTAACTAACAATGAGCAATATTTACAATATTTCTACAATTTATTAATCTTTGTTAATGTTAGTTAATACAAATACAACTGTCCATTGTTAGTTCAGGTCCATTTAATAACAACTTTTAAATTTTAATAATGTATTAGATGTCAAAATTAACATGAACTAAGATTAATAAAGTATTTTTCATTGTTAGTTCATGTTAACTAATGTTAATAAACGTTACATTCATTTTTATGTATTTTGGATATTGGTCACCATTTACTTTCATTGTGTGGAAAAGTGCAGCGTGAACATTCTGCTAAACATCTTCTTTTGTGTTTCATGGGAAAAAAAAGAAAAAAAAAAGTCATACAGATCTGGAATGACATGAGGGCGAGTATTAATTCGAATTCACACAAAAATATTGATTTTAGGGTGAACTATCCTTTTAAGCTCAATGTTAGCAATCCAAGTTTTCAGAAATCCTCACCTTGTTGTAATCATACACTCACTTCAAGCAAAGTGGCCTTAATGTACTTTTAAAGCTGTGCTGAAAGTCGGCGGTGGATTTGTCTGTCAGTCTGAGGGTTTGGTTCAGGCGTTTCCGGCCTCTTTGGGTGTAATGAGGGTGTGTTACAGTAGCCGAGCTTATGGAATGTGTTTTAATGCATTTACCTACATAAACAGATTACTACATTGATCCAGATGAGTGATTTTAGTGATTCATATGTTTAGATGGAGACAAAGAGAGGCAGACAGACGGAGAGGGAGAGAGTTAGAATGAACTGTTGAATTGTTGATGAGATAATCGGTTTCAGAATTGCATTAGCGTTTTATTGCATTATCGGCAAGGATATTTTTAGCTGGATGTAACATGCAGTGGGGAATTCACTAAGAATGAATTGTGCCTGCTGTTATCGCCATGTATTTTGCATGTGCGTTGCTTTCCCGTCCAGTGCACCAAAGGAATAATGCAGATTAGGTAACTGAATAAATGTAGCATATAGTCTATGCTTAAAGTAATTATGTGACATTATTACTTTACATTATGTGACATTATGCGACATAATGTGTCTTCTGAATAATGTGCTAGTCTAAAATAAGCCCTGAAAGCATATAAATTAGGGTAGCACCAATATAAAAATTCTGCCCGATTTGCTTTTATTTTAAAAATAAATAAATTTTATTTTATTTTATTTTATCCTGATGACCGAAAAATTAGAGTGATTAAAATTCTATACTACTGTTTAAGTAAATGAAAAAAATTTATAATTTTAAATACTTAAAGCATACTTTAAATACTCAAATACATATTTAAAATTAATTTTATATTTTATTTTATTGCTGATAATCAGTACATTAATAAGATTACATTTCTACATACTACTTTGTTTAAATAAATTAATAATACAATCTTGAATTTAGGCATCACAACATTAAATTATACAGAATTATTATTATTTTTTTTCAATTTGATTTGATTGATTTATATAAATTATGCTTTGAAATGATCTAAATGTAAAAATAGGGGAAATGAGCATGCACAATTAATTATCCAATATTGATAGCCCACTGATAAATGAAAAAATCTTCAGTATTGCCAATTGATAATCAATATGGTACCTATATATTGTGCATCCCTAGAATAGCAGGACTTATGCAGGGAATTGAGAGTCTCTCTTCTCTTCGCTCTTGTTTTGCAGCAGGTGTGATATGAAATGACGGTTCATTTTAATGCACACAAACCACAAGATGAAGAAAAAGCAAAGCTTATCTAGACGGGTGCACGAGTCGCTCTGCTGCTGCCTACACGCTGTGAAGCCCTTGCAGGATAGATCTCGCGCTGTAGGTCAACACGACCGCATAAACCCTTCGCGCTAGTCCTTAAATCGCTTCTCACAATCAAATGCATTAAGATGCACGTTTGCAATATTTCAAATGTCTCCTTAAATATGTCACCGTGCAGAAAGGCTAAAGTCTTTAAAGTTGACCCCGGCACGGTTAGGGGCGAATGCGATGTTGGAGTCTGTGAGAAAAGCCTCTCGGTTTGCAGATGTCCGCCAAGGGCTTCACTCTCTCACACCCACACAGCCGTTCACACACATGTCGACAACACACACATGTGTGCTTTCAGATACACCCGGGCGACATGCAGACATATACATCATGGCCTGCGTGATCAAACACATTTATCCGCCAGATATTTAGCCTTGGGGAAAAATCCAAATGATGTCAGTGCTTTGGAATTCACATAAAGAGTCCAAAGCTCAAGTAGGACATGCAGTCTGAGCAGTAGCCAGTCAATACTCCATTGTGTCTCAGCCATCTCTGTTTTCATGCAGAGTGACATAAAGCTAATGGCATGTGAAACTCAGTTTGGACCGGGATACAAATGCTAACTTAATGCACTAATACAGTAGGGAATCTAGAACTGAAAAATCTAGAATGGTAATAACATGCTACTTTGATATGTGATTCATGTATGTGGTATTGAGATTTTGTTGTGAACATCCTCCGTGGGACTGTATTAAGTGGTGGTGTTGTGTCTCTGTTCAGGCAGCGGACCCATATAAATAAAATTATAAAATAATAAATAAATAAATAAATACAAACACAACAACAACAACAAAACTCTTTATCTGAGAGAAATTGTATTTATTTATTTATTTATTTTGTTAACTGAAACCATTACAAATAGTTGCTTAAAATAAAACATTAACTTTAATAAAATAGAAACATAAATAAACTCGTTTTATTTATATAAATTATTAAATATAATTATTATTAAATAAATTATTAAATAAACTGTGCCAACATTTCTCATTTTCACTTAGTTTACTTTATGCGCTAATATAACTAAAACTTATATCATCCTGCTAATGGAAATAAAAAATAAATAAAAACTATATAGACATTGTTTTAATTGTATAAAATTACAAAAAAACATTTCTAAAAACATTTCTAAAAAAAACTTATATTCAAATAAAAACTGAAAATATAAAAATTAAATTAAATTTAAAATATTAATAAAAACGATAATATTTCAATGATACTGTAATAACACTGACACTATAGTAATAACTGAATATATCTTTGAAAAACGTTGACATACTAAAATATCATGGCACAATTTGGAAATCATGTGGTATAACAGATTGACCAATATGTTTTTTTACATTTACATTTAATATGTCTTTTTATTTTTTACAATTGATACCATGACAATAACAGACAATAAAGTTTTTTTAATGCCCATATTACCAATATTTATTAAAAAGTATAAATAAAACAATCATTAGAAAAAAAAAGAGTTATATGTATTGTATATGAGTTACATGTATATGTATACTAGTTGGGTAAATGCAAATGTTAAATAATGAGTTTGTAGCTGGCTGCTGTTCTTCACACATCAACCACACGGTGCCATTTATCAGCTGAAAACCAGCGATCGGTCTTTCTCTAGTAGCATCTGATACAATCGCTATACATTGGTACCACAACTGCAAGTGAGACAGCAGCATGCTTGCAGACGCAAATGATCTTATGAACATAGTGTGTGTTCATGATCCCGACCTGTGTCTCTCTGACCTCTAGGTGGCGCGCGCTGTTCTTCACACATCAACCACACGGTGCCATTTATCAGCTGAAAACCAGCGATCGGTCTTTCTCTAGTAGCATCTGATACAATCGCTATACATTGGTACCACAACTGCAAGTGAGACAGCAGCATGCTTGCAGACGCAAATGATCTTATGAACATAGTGTGTCTCTCTGACCTCTAGGTGGCGCGCAGATGGGGCAAGAGGAAAAACAAGCCCAAGATGAACTACGAGAAGTTGAGTCGCGGTTTGCGCTACTACTACGACAAAAACATCATCCACAAGACGTCCGGCAAGCGCTACGTCTACCGCTTTGTGTGTGACTTGAAAAGCCTGCTGGGATACACTCCCGAAGAGCTGCACACCATGCTAGACGTGAAGCCCGACACGGATGAGTAAACTTCGGACTTTGGAAATAATACAAAACAAAGTCCCTCACAGACCCTGGAAAGAAAACGGGGCGTCCATTTTTGGGTCCAATCACATTCCATCTTAACACTTAGTCGTGGTCCAGTCTTGTTTTGAGCTCACACGGGACAAAAAAAAGAGGAAGCGTCAAAACGTTCACCAAAGTTTAGAATCCGTTGACTTTGCGCGTCTGTATTGTTTATAGCTCTGCGGGAAGCGAAAACTCGAAGTCCAGGTCGACCCAATAGCACAAACACCGGGAAGGAACAGAGGACAATGAGACGGACATGTCTTGGACTGAACGCTCCAGTTATTAAACACGTTGCCAAAATTAGAGACAAGAGGAATACCGCAGAAATTTTTAACGATTGAGTTTCTGTCTCCTTGCATACCCAACCACGAGGACGAGTTCTCAGCCGGACCAAAATAACAAAAAGTGTTTTATTTTTTTGATAGTTTCTATATGTGTCAGTATTAATTTGTCGTATTGCGATGCTGTCCGGACAGAGATTGCGCCGTTTTGTACGTTTTCATATGAAGGTTTATTGAAGTCAAACTGTGCTTAGATAGTCTCTCCGCTTCTTTCAAGATCACGGTTGGTTACGGCTTGCTCTTACCATAATGTCCATAGCTGAAAACGCCGTTTTTGATCACCAGATCAAAATAGATACCAGAGTCTCGCCCTTTTCAGTTGAAAGAGACGTACCTCAGTCAAACTGAGAGTGTGAGTGAGAGACGCAAATGAAAGCGGCCGTTGGCTTCTCAACGGTGACACGCTTGTGGTGAAAACGAGGTGTCGTTTTATCACTTGTATTAAGACAAAAGACATCAGATGCTTCGTGTCTCGGTTTGTTTGTACGTGAATGGTTTTTCATAAAGTTTTGCCTTAATATAGCACACCGTCTTTATGAACATGCTGTGTTTTCTCAAGGTTGACTGAAACTGAAATGTCACTCAACCGGGCCTCAAACGGTTTAGACTGAACCGAAAGCCATAAAGCGAGGCCTTTTAACCTTGAGACAGACGTGGCCAAGTTAGCCATGTTGAAAAAAGTGCACGCTTCAGCATGCATCTGGATTGGCAAAGAACGTGAGATGGATATCGCAGCAGAAACCAAGGATCTGTTGGGCTGCGTTCGAGTTCGAGATGGTTTGCGAAAGTGTTACTGTTAGTGGCTGATGTAAGGTTAAGATAGGCGGAAGACCAGATCATGCTGAGACTTTTGGCAGCTTTAAAGATGATGGCGTGTGCTACGACTGGCCAACAAACGTCACAAGATCCAACATGGGAGTAAGTTTCACAATGGCTCCGATAAATGCAGTATTTTGCATTGAATGAGTAGACTGAGTGGCAGTCAGATTCAATTTGTGTGTTCTTCAGCCCAGCGTTTCACTGTGTGGGAAGGGTCTCGTACACAAGACCTTGTGGGAAAAGCCAAAGTAAAGAACGTTCTTCTAAGAAAACAAACCGTATTGTTTACAGTGGCAGAACGCTACCCATCCTGATTGGTGTAGCTTCGGAATTGTCTATTTTTACAGATAACATTTCATAAAACGGCTAGATTAAACAATAAACTGGGAACACATTCATGAGAGCTCAGAATAGAAGTCTTTAATTCAGAGATGAGCTGGTTTCAGTCGCAACCGTCCTGCCGTGATCAACAACAAAAGTGCTACATCACCCAGTTTATAGTGTTAAAAAAAACGAAAGCACAATCGAAAGCCAGCGGCATGTTACATGACTTTTATTTTGTATTTTTATTTGACAAGGTCCAAATCATGATGCAGTCTTTGTCCTGATTGTAAAAGTGATGCATTTTGTGTGAAAATGAACTTTTGACAGATACATGCATGTTCATATTGACGAGTGTTGTTTTTAGTTCCCCACAATTTTGCCTTATTTTGTATGTTTTATATTTCTGTATTTGTTTTGTTAAAACGAGAATTTTAATGTATTTAGTTCACAGACATTTTGATATTTTTTCAATAATTTATATTTTATAAACTTTGATGAAATATGAGATGCAGACAGCTGGTGCTTTCGTGGGGAAACAAATAAAAAAATAAAATAAAATAAGGTAGCGCAGGACAAAATGTAGCGAATTTTCTTTTATATGAAATGAAATTTAAAAAATTTTAAAAAAAGAAAGAAAAAAGTCAAATTTAAGGAATTTAAAGACCTGTCTGCTTGTACAGTTCTGTATAGATAAGGCTGATGCTGGCCCATCATTATGTTCCGCTGGAGAGTTTTATAAACAGTAGCTTCTATTATTGTACTTTAAATTGTTATGTTATTAAAATATATGTGGAGAAAATGATTCATGTCCGTCTTCGTTATTTCAAAATGAATCTTTGGCCAATGACGCCGAATCAAAGTAGCACGAAGGAAGACACACCCATAGCAACCCAACGCTCGTGCAAACACAGGTATGAAGTTGCAAACACACACAGTTACCACCTTGCAGCGCTGCAGGCTTTGCGGCAGATTTGTGGTTTTGTTTATTATGAGTCTTGGTTAAATGAGCAGCTCGTTTCTTTCATTGCTAATCATCATAAATACCACAGCTGCAGTTTTTCAGCGTCACATCACGGAAAGACAGAGGCTGCTGCCTTTGATTCTCACACTTGAGATTGGCGTGCTGCACCTCTGGCTGTCGTATGCTGGGGCTTTTCACGCGCCACAGGCTCTTCTGAGGAAGGGGACGGGAATATGTTGTGCACCGATGACCCTAAATAAAGGCCCCTGACGTAAGAACTAAAACGGGCACAATGAGTCCATTCATAAGTGTAACCTCACAGTACAATAAATTACAAATGATAAGGGCCGTCTATTCTTTTTATGATGGTCTGTCCTTTCTGTCAAGATCTAAAGACTCTTTTTTGACTATACAAATATGGGTTTATACTGCCGAAGCATTAAAAAAAAAACATCCCACATACAATCATGTCCAAAAGTATGAGGCGACACACTCAGAATAAAGGGTATAAAAGCTGTCACTGGGTCCTTTACTAATATGTACTTTTAAAGTACTAAAATGTAGCTTTAAGGTATTAATATGTATATTTTAGGCGTACATAAGGTACAAAGATGTACCTTATTTTAGCACTTTTGTACCTTAGAGTCCCGCCCTACTTAGAAGCTTTGTACCTTTTTTTTTTTCTTTTCTGAGAATTTAATTTAAAGCCAAAAATAAACGGAGTTTTAGGATTTTGAACAACGTAAAACAAAGATACTTTGACACAAAATGAAGAACATATTTCTATGGTCACTAATCAAATAAGTGCATTTGTGTACATCATGTGACTGCTTTATACAGATGTTCAGTTGTTCTTGCTTCCTAAAAAGAAAGAGAGACAAACCAAATACTAAGATAATTTTGAAATGCATGTTAACTGTTATATAATTAGCATTTTTCTCATATCTGCGAGTAGGTTATGGATATTAAATGGATATATGCACATATAAACTATTGGTGTTCCATTTGAGTCGGGTGTTTACACACATCGCAGGTAAGGATGGACAATGCAATTTCTACATTTATCCCCTTTATGTTCTTAATTTTCAAAGATGTGTGCCTCAAGTTGTCCATGAATTGTTCCTACGCTGATGCATTTGAACTTGCAGGGGATTCACCAGGTACGAGTGATAGATTTCACAATTTAGCTGAAAATACGGGTCTCGCTTCTGTAGAAAGAAAGAGTTAGTGGGTTGTGCAAAATCAGAGCACAGGTCAAAAAAAGATACTTTTCTATGTTATTTTGTGTGCACTAGTTGCATACACTGTTGTTTTTTTGGTAACTAGGTCTGTGTTCTGAGTCGATAAATAGTGTTAGTCGGTCACAGTGGTCTGATATTCTGCCAAGAAGCATTTTCGATTTAGACACATATTGTATTTCAGTATGCTCTGTGTAGATGCCGTTTCTGTCTTTGACATTTGCACATAAAACATCCACGATATTCTGTCCAATTCGATTATATGTTTTTTTGGGTTTTTTTTTTTGGGCAGCACAAAATACTTGGTCTCATATACATATTCTATATTTTATATATGAATATATATATACATTTTTTAAATCATGGGGCTCAAAGTAATGTTGGTCTGAGTGAGATCAATGAAAGATAAGCAATATATTGTTTGCTAAAGGCAAAACACTATACATCTGAACTGGGTCAACATGTTAGATAACAGATATCACCACACTTTCCACATCTGATTAATCGCAGTACACTGCAACAATTGTTTTGGATTACACATGTTCTGAAATTGTGTGTAAATATGCAAATGAGAGATTATCTAATTATATATGCACTCATGTTCATTTATTCTCAGAACAGAAATCTAAAAACCTTAAGCAAGGCTCAATGTTTTTAACAATGGGATTCAACATATTTAAGTTTTCAACATATTGAAAGACGTTACGGAAGCAAAATAGCCTGAAATTGACCAGTGCATGAACGATTTCAGCTGTAGTGTCTTGCCTTAAATGTTTCATTCTCAAAAAAAACCCTAATGTCCACAGCTGACCACACACATGCACGCAATGTTCAAGGCCTGTGTGTTCTAGACATCATTCAGCAGGTTCACGTTTGCAGGTGGTTCCTCTCTTGCCTTCACCTTTGTCTGCTTTAGATCCGCATGCAACAGTCATCACATGCTTCACGCACACACACACACACACACTAGTGCACTTCATCTCATCACTTGTTCCTAAAGAATCTGATCTTGCTTAAAAATAATGCCTTTGATAGGTACCTTCAATAATTATAAATATAACATGAAGTAGATTTTTCTGAGTGTGTTGGAGAAGCACTATGCAGTTAAAAAATGCTGAAAATGGTTGTCAGGTTACACAAACACGGTGTATCTGTGGGTTTGAAGGCACCTACAGTTGGGGATTTCAAAAGGGTAATTTTCATATCTGACTGAGGTAATTTTCCATTACGGTTGAGTGAAAAAAACGAAAGAAAGGCAGAGAAAGAAAGAAAGAAAGAGAGAAAAAAAAAACCTCTTTGCAA